GAGTAGCTTTCCACCGGGGTACTGCCCACCCAGCGTCCCAATTTGGGAAGTGCATTGTGTGCTGACAATGCGTACTCCCTGGTTTCATTTGGCCAAGAGAAGGACCCTGCATAAGTGATGAGTAAATAAGAAAAGGAAAAACAACCTCAGGTGACAAATGTTCATAATGTAAAAATTTTAATAGAGGAAGTCCAGAAGTATAGAAATAATCCACATTTCCTGTCTGTCAAGGAAGGGAGTAAATACCTTTTAAGGTGACATGATGTGACTTAAAAGGCTTAGAAAGACTCCCAGTCTCTCCTGGCCCTTCCCAACCACCACCTGATGACAAGACCCATCACTAAAATGTCATTTCTCTAGCTTATTGTATGAGCAGTTATGCTAATCACTTGCCATAGAGTTTGCCAAAGACTCGCTCAACTGTCATTTGACAGCTCCTAGGCAGGGTAGAACGTAGCACACACACAAACATACATGTGTGCACCATTATCTATATGGCAGTGAAATGACTTGCCCAAGGCATGAGGAAAATACGTGATGCTGTCAAATCCAGCTAAATGGGAATGAGCTAAGTAACTGCCCCTGAGAAAAATCACATAAATTTGGAAAATTCCAAGTTCAAGCCAAGGGTGATGAGATAGCCCTTTATCACCAGGTCATACTATGTCCCAGGGGTGAAGCTAAAAGATACAGAGAAAGAAATGTGGAACAAACCCAGAGAGTTAAATAAGTACATTGCCCAAGAGTGAGATGAAAGGTATGTGTCCCATGTTTCTAATATCTATTGACATGTTTAAGATTTGTAAACTCTATTTTAGCATTCCAGATCTCAGGATCTATTCTACACTGTAAAAATTATCTCATGAGTGAGAAATATATATATAGACAAAAAATATCCATTGTAACATTCTTGGGGTAGCGGAAGCATAATGAACCATTTAACCTCATTCCTATATGTAGTGTATATAGATCTAAACCGAGAAAAAGATCTTTAAAATATACACACAATTCCCGTGGAATTATAGGAAATTTAACCTTTTAAATTATGAAATGAATATAAACACAACCTTTATTTTTAAACAGACAATATAATATAAAGTTAAATATGAAAATTCAGTAGGTAACCACATTACACATTACACTTTTTAAGGACTCTTTCCACACCACAACAAACACAACATATTTAAAAAAATACTTTTCTTTACAAAAATGGGATTATTCTTTTTTTATTATTATACTTTAAGTCTTGGGATACATGTGCAGAATGTGCAGGTTTGTTACGTAGGTATACATGTGTCATGGTGGTTTCCTTACCCATCAATCGTCATCTAGGTTTTAAGCCTGGCATGCATTAGATATTTGTTCTAATGCTCTCCCTCCCCTTGCCCCCCACTCCCCGACAGCCCTGGTGTGTGATGTTCCCCTCCCTGTGTCCATGTGTTCTCTTTGTTCAACTCAAAAATGGGATTATTCTTTAGGCTTGTTGTCTTCCTTGTTTTTGTCACAAAATGTCCATGACATTTTGTTATGTCTGTGCCATCAGACTGCCTGAATTAAAATTCCAGCTCTACCACTTACTCCCTGCGGGGTCTGGTAAGTTACTTAATTTTGCTACACTCTAAATTTTTATCTGTAAGTTGCAATCATAATAATGCCTATGTTGTAGGATTTGGAGAAAATAAAATGATAAAAGCTTTGCAAAGCACTTAGCTCAGTGTGTAGCAAGTATCAGGTGTTAATAAATATTGGCTAACATTACCCATCTTATTTCTTCAGAGACTACATGATGTTGAGTAATAAAAATACACTATAAACTATTTGATAAATCACCTATTTGTGAATATTCAGTTTGTTTCCTGTGTAGTTGTTTTGTTTGTTATGCTGTATTATGTTTAGTTTGCTATTACAAGCAACATTACAATAAAATGTGTGTACATATACTTTGACATACAAATATATCCTTTTTTTAAATGATAGCTTTTTGTAAGTGGAATTATTGCACAAAGAAATGCAGATTTTCCGTTCTGATGGAGACTACCAAAGGGACAACACTAATTTACTCTCTTACTGCTAGTACATGTGAGTGTCTAGTTTCCTTTGTATATTGTCAAAAAATTTAGCATAAAACTGATAAGTGAGAATTGAATTTCAGTCCACATTTCCTGATTATCAATTATGTTGATCATCTTGTCATACATTTTATTTGGTAACTGTGTTGCATGTATTTTCATTGAGTCAATAGTTTCTATTTTAGCTTTGCCTATAATCTCTTTTGGCATAATTTTCAAATTTTTAAGTGGGTTATTTTGTCATTCTTGCTTCTTCATTTCATTTCTTGCTTGGAATGACATTCCCATCCTGAGACTGTAAAAATATGTTCCTTTAGTTTTGGCTCAAACTTACTTTGTAGTTTGGATTTTTAACTTTCAGATTGTTCATTCATCTGGGTTTTAGTTATATGTGTGGGTTAGATAGAAATCTAGCCTTATACTTTCCAAGTGTTCAACCAATTGTCACAAATATCATTAATATTCCATTCTTTCTTTGATGCTATTAAATTTTACTGTATATTAAGTTGCAGATAAATTACTGTCTATATATATCTACCTATATATATGTATGCATAAATACAGATCTACGAAATTCTTTATGGTGGTCCATTGATTTGCTTTTCTGTTTGTGCCATTATCTTATTGTTTTTCACTGTTATGTAATTTGATTGGGGTTAGAAAAGTTCCCTGAAATTGCTCTGAATTTTTTCAAAATTATTTTGTCTGTTCTTAGCCATTTATTAATCTAGGTGAATTTTAGAAAAACTTTCACAAATGTCATTAAAAATTCCCCTGGGGTCTTATTAGAGATGCATTGAATTTTATTAATCTGAGAAGAATTAACATTTTTTAAATATTGATAGGAATATAATATCTCTGTTTATTTAGATCTTCATTTTGTGTTCTGTTACAGTTTCTCCAGATAAATCTTACTCATTTATTTTTATTGCTCAGGTTTATTCCTAAGTATTTTTTAGACTTTCTTACCACTGTCAATTGAAATATTTTCCAAATTACATTTTTCTAATATAAGAAAAGTATATTTGTATATGTATCGTTTATCTGGCTAGTTTGATAAAGTCTTCATAGATTTTAAATTTTTTCGGATGATTATCTTGGATTTTCTAGGTGGACAGTTTCATCATTTCTAATGTTTATGTCTTTTAATTCTTACTTTTTCACTGATTGAGACCACCATATCAACAGTATAGCTTAATAGTGGTAATAAGAGCCATCCTTTTCTGGTCTTTTCATGATACTGGTAGAATAAGACTCTTAACGATCTAAGTTTTATAATACTGTAATATTTGAATGTTTAGAAAGAGGATGTTATAATTTTATAATCAGAAAAGTTAACATATTTTAAAAACTAATCACAGTAACATAGGCTATTCCTGGTAGTACTCCTATTTTGAGTGACATCTTTGGATCAAAAGCTTAAAATTAAAGTATCCAGATCCTATTAACCAAACAGAAAGTTTTGAACATACATTAAGCAAGTTTTGCTCTGAAGACTTAAGGAAGGCTCGTCTGAATTCTGTGGACAGTAAGGAGTATTGATTGAGTCTGATGTTCATCATTGTACTATCTCAACTATCACCACCACCTCCAGAACTATGAGCAGGAGAGGATTCTGAATGAAAGGGTCTTATTCATGGTGATACCCTGTATGAAAGTATCCTCATTCAAGGTGGGACCCAGAAACCACTTCCTCTGGAACAAAAAAACAAAAAAAGAAGCTAAGAAGTTGGTCAAGAGACAACCTAAGAAGAATCTTCAGAAAGGGAAATGAGAAGAACTCAAGACAAATTAAGCCACATAGAAGTTCCGAAGAACACAAGGAAAAGCCTTTATTTTTTATTTGTATAAGTTTATGGGGTGCAAGTACAGTTTTGTTACATGAATACATTGTGCAGTGGTCAAGTTAGGGTTTTTAGGGTATCTACCATGCAAATAACATACATTGCACCCATTAGGCAATTTATCATCATTAATTCCCCTTTTACTCCTGACCCCTACTTCTTCTGAGTCTCCATTTTCCATCATTCCACTTACAATGATCCTATGTACATATTTGTGCCACCCACTTATGAGTGAGAACATGTGCTATTAGTGCTTTGTGCTTTATATTTTTGTATTTGTATATTTGTATTTTTGTGCCTGGCTTGTTTCACTCAAAATAATGACCTCCAGTTCCATCCATGGTGCTACAAATGACATGATTTCATTATTTATCTTGGCTAAATAGTATTCCACTCTGTGTGTGGGTGTGGGTGTGTGTGTGTGTGTGTGTGTGTGTACATATATATGTACACACACCACTTCTTTTCTTCATTCATCCATTGATGGACACTTAGGTTGATCTTTGCTATTGTGAATAGTGCTGCAATAAATATAGAAGTGCAGGTATCCCTTTGATATATTGATTTATTTCTTTATTCTGTTTCACTGATCTATGTGTCTGTTTTTATACAGCAACATGCTATTTTGGTTGCTATAGCCTTGTAATATATTTTGAAGTCAGGTAATGTGATACCTCCAACTTTGTACTTTTTTCTTAAAATTGCTTTGGCTATTCTGGCTCTTTTTGGCTCCATATGAATTTTAGAATTGCTCTTTTCTAATTTTGTGAAAAATGATATTGGTATGTTGATAGGGATTATGTTCAGTATGTAGATTGCTTTAGGCAGTATAGTCATTTTAACTATATTAATTCTCCCGATCCATAAGCATGGAATGGAAAATTGAAAATCTTTAGTTTCTAGTTTAGGAGACAGCTTGGATAATTTTAACTGTTCCCTTGTTGGATTTTACTACCTGTTTCTCCATAGTTTCTTAAAGTAAATATTCTTAAAAACCGTAACAAAGGGCTATGAGCTATTTTTACAGGCTTAAACTTATGAAGGAAGCTGTCTTGATCAAACTGCCCTTTACGTCTCTCCCACTGCTTCTCCAAACCCTATCCAGGAAGTCCAGAGACATGGAGACAAAGAATTACAGCAGCAGCACCTCAGGCTTCATCCTCCTGGGCCTCTCTTCCAACCCTCAGCTGCAGAAACCTCTCTTTGCCATCTTCCTCATCATGTACCTGGTCACCGTGGTGGGGAATGTGCTCATCATCCTGGCCATCTACTCTGACCCCAGGCTCCAAACCCCTATGTACTTTTTTCTCAGCAACTTGTCTTTCATGGATATCTGCTTCACAACAGTCATAGTACCTAAGATGCTGGTGAATTTTCTATCAGAGACAAATGTTATCTCTTATATGGGCTGCCTGGTCCAGATGTACTTCTTTATGGCCTTTGGGAACACTGACAGCTACCTGCTGGCCTCTATGGCCATCGACCGGCTGGTGGCCATCTGCAACCCCTTACACTATGATGTGGTTATGAACCCACGGCATTGCCTACTCATGCTATTGGGTTCTTGCAGCATCTCCCACCTACATTCCCTGTTCCGCGTGCTACTTATGTCTCGCCTGTCTTTCTGTGCCTCTCACGTCATTAAGCACTTTTTCTGTGACACCCAGCCTGTGCTAAAGCTGTCCTGCTCTGACACATCCTCCAGCCAGATGGTGGTCATGACTGAGACCTTAGCTGTCATCGTGACCCCCTTCCTGTGTATCATCTTCTCTTACCTGCGAATCATCGTCACTGTGCTCAGAATCCCCTCTGCAGCCGGGAAGTGGAAGGCCTTCTCTACCTGTGGCTCCCACCTCACTGCAGTATCCCTTTTCTATGGGAGTATTATTTATGTCTATTTTAGGCCCCTGTCCATGTACTCAGTGGTTAGGGACCGGGTAGCCACAGTTATGTACACAGTAGTGACACCCATGCTGAACCCTTTCATCTACAGCCTGAGGAACAAAGATATGAAAAGGGGTTTGAAGAAATTATGGGACAGAATTTACTGGTAAAAGGCACAAAATGTTGATATGTCATAATTAAGACATGATCTAAGAGATTATCGGGTTATTCTTCCTTACTATTTTCCATGTGGCACTCAAAGAGGTCATGAAAATTGGTGTTGGATACCAGTAAGAGAATTGACCTAGGAGCAAAACACTTGGTTTCTATCAATGATCTTAACCAAATACATATTCAGTCTCAGGCTAGGTACTGTTAGGAATCCAGATTTCAGGAAAAGGTTTCAGGTTTTGAAAGCTGAGTATTGCCTCCTCAAATAGATGGGCAATTATATAGAAAAATAAAGCTATCTCCATTAGATTGGTAACCATATAGAAAAATAAAGCTATCTCCAAATAACTTGTCTATAAGCCTGACAATGGCTAGCATTCAAGGAGTTTAAATCCTATTAGTTTTTTGTTTGGCAGCGGAGGGTTGTTCTTCTTGTGTGTGCATGGCTTTTTTTTTTTAGAAACATAATCTCACTGTATTGCTCAGATTGGAGTACAATGGTGCGATTATAGCTCACTGCAGCCTCAAACTCCTGGGCTCAAATGATTTTCCTGCCTTAGCCTGCCAAGTAGCTGGGACTACAGGAACATGCCACCACACTCGACTTTTTTTTTTTTTTTTTAGAGATAAGGTCATGTTATCTCACCCTGGTAGGTCTTGAACTCCTGGCTTCAAGGGATCCTCTTACCTTGGCCTCCCAAAGTACTGGGATTACAGGGGTGAGCCACCACGACTTATAAAACCCATTAATTTTAAGAAGAAGAAACTACATGGGTTTGATAGGTCATTGGGTAAGACTTCTAGAAGGAATGGCATCTTGAAGGACGGACTGAATTTTGAAAGAAGAAGTTTCAAAAGACGAGGAAATCTGCAAAGCATTTCAAATAGTGAAAACCACCCAAGCATGTGGAGACAATAAGCACTGCAATGTGTTGGAGGGACAATGAAAAGCTGAGGTTTGATCAGTTTGAGAGAAAGGAGAATATGGCTGGAAAGACAGAAGAATCTACAAAACACATTTATTCTCTCCACCAACACTTAAGTTTCATGACAGTGTGAAGGCTCAGTACCCAATTTCTTTTCCCTTCACTCTTAATTCTTCCCTTCTCCATACATCCAGCATCCTTACCAAGCTGCCTTTGTGTCCTAGAAAAAGCTAGTGTATCAGTTAGGAAAAAGTTCAGTTGTGCTATGGAAACACTCACCCTCAAAGTCTTAGAACCTTAAAACCAAAGGTTTATTTCTCATTCACATTGTATGTCCACCATAGAAAAAGGTAAGTGTGCTACTTATTTTCAACATGCAGAGAACCAAGATCATGGAGAAGTCACCATTGAAAACATTAATCATCACTCTGCCAGAAGCTAAGAAAGGCTCTTGGAGGTTTCACACTGGTAGTTAAAGGCTCTTGGAGGTTTCACACTGGCGGTTTCACACTGGAGGTTTCACACTGGCGCTTCTGACCATAACTCATTGTCCAAAACCCCTCTCATGACCCCACTCAAACACAAGGAAGCTGGGAGGCACAACCCAACTATGTCCCTCTAAGATAGAAAGCCAGAAGTATTTAACAAACCTGCACATTATGCACATGTACCCTAGAACTTAAAGTATAATAATAATAAAAAATAAATAAATAAAGCCAGAAGTATTTGATAAACAGCATTAATTACTACTTCCCAACTATATTAACACACAAACACATCAGTGTGAATTAGTTGCTTCATCGATTCTTCTGGATTGTGTTATTGTCAATAACAATAGTAATGTAAGACTTACACACTCTCTGGAATTTTTCTGCTTCAATTATTTCATCAAGTTCCCACAACCATCTGTTTTTCTAGGTCACAAGCTTGTGTGGCAGGACCTGACGCTGAATACAAGTTTTTTGGCCTTAAAGATTTAGTAAGAGGTGAATAGTGTCCAAGGAAATACAGGGATGCCTAGGTTCCAACATCAAGGTCCCTGCTAGTGCTTTCACTACGTGCTCCTAATTATAAGGGAGTAACCAGAAAGCTAGGAAAGAAACCCAAAGCAATACCTTCATGTTTGTACAGGCACACCTGTTTTTAACCACTATCTCTCACTGATCATTTGGTTTGTGGGATGCAGGCCTAGAAGATATGTACCATTTCGACTTACTCAATTTATGTGCCATAGTTTTCTCATGCTCAACCAAAAAGTTCAGTTAGCTACTTCAGAATGTTAGGAATATCTATATTAAATAAATATATTCATAAATTATATGTATATTACATATACATTAAATAAATTCATTAATTATGCCACCATTAACTTATAAATCCAATTACATTCTTTAGTCCTGAGAACACTAACTTACTTTTTTTTTAACTTATTTTTATCTTAAGTTCCAGGATACATGTAGGTTTTAAGTTCCAGGATACATCCAGGACGTGTAGGTTTGTTCTATAGCTAAATGTGTGCCATGGTGGTTTCCTGTACCTATCAACCCATCACCTAGGTATTAAGCCCCACATGCATTAGCTATTTATCCTGATGCTCTCCCTCCCCACTCCCAGACAGACCCCAGTGTGGGTTGTTCCCCTCCCTGTGTCCATGTGTTCTCATTGTTCAGCTCCCACTTACAAGTGAGAACATGCAGAATTTGGTTTTCTGTTCCTGTGTTAGTTTGCTGAGGATAATAAATTCCAGCTCCATCCATTTCCCTGCAAAGGACATGATCTTGTTCCTTTTTATAGCTTCATAGTATTCCATGATGTATATGTACCACATTTTCTTTATCCAATGTATCATTGATGGACATTTGGGCTGATACCATGTCTTTGCTATTGTGAATAGTGCTGCAATGAACATACGTGTGCATGTATCTTTATAACAGAATAATTTATATCCTTTGGGTATATACCCAGTAATGGGACTGCTGGGTTGAATGGTACTTCTGGTTCTAGGTCTTTGGCGAATTGCCACACTATTTTCCACAATGGTTGAACCAATTTACATTCCCACCAACAGTGTAAAAGTGTTTCTATTTCTCCAGTCTCACCAGCATCTGTTGTTCCTTGACTTTCTGACTGTCATGAGATGGTATCTCATGGTGGTTATGATTTACATTTCTCTAATGACCAGTGATGTTGAGCTTTCTTTCTTATGTTTGTTAGCTGCATAAATGTCTTCTTTTGAGAAGTGTCTGTTTATGTCTTTTGCCCACTTTTTAATGGGGTTGTTTATTTTTTTCTTGCAAATGTTTTAAGTTCCTTGTAGATTCTGGATATTAAGATCCTCAAGAAAATAATAGATGAGTCAAGATTCCATATCCAACTAAAATTACTTTCAAATATAAGGGCCACTTTCACTATTCAAGAACTCTTAAGGAACTTACCACAGAACAAGCTTTAGGCAACCAAAATGACTGGAGACACATCAACTTAAGAACTGGTGATAAACAGGAAGCATATATTTAACTGTAGAACTAACATTAAACGATGGTTACAAGGTAAGAGAATACTGTTCATGGATAAATGCTCTGACTATGTAGTTACATACAATAAACAAAATGTGGGAATAATGAGAGGAGGGTATAAAGAATAAAATAAGTTTGCTTATTGCCTATTATTAACTTGAAATTAAGAAGTATTATTTTAAGTCAGGTATTTTGAGAGAGGCAGAGAAGAGGTAGAGAATTACCAGCTAATTTTAGTATTACTAACAATAAGGTACCAATAAATAATAACCAAAAAGGTATGGGGTTGGAATATATTAAAAAACACAGTGACAAAAATGTAACATGTGGACATTACTCAGAGTCTGATTTGAAAAGATCAACTGAAAAGAGTAATTTTTAAGACAAGAAAATCTGAATATGGTTTAGGCATTAGATGATATCAATGAATTAATGTCACTATTTTCAGACATAATGATGATATTTTAATTTTTAAATTCTCATTTCTGAAAGATGAATTCTGAAGTAGGTCAATGAATTTATGCAATATCTGCAAATTTGCTTTAAAATAGTCACCAGCAAATAAAAATGGGAGGAGGCATATAGATTAAACAAGATTGGAAAAATTGTTTACATTACTATGCTAGGTAATGTGTCATGGGGTTCAATTACATTATACTATTTTCTATACTTTTAGTTGAAATGGTTATAATAAAGTGTTTAATAAATCACACATCATATTAGCAACACATCTTACATCAGACCACAAGTCTCATGGCTCCTGATCTAGTACTCCTCTCTCATCTTCCTTTTTTTTTTTTTTTTTTTTTTTTTTTGAGATAGAGTTTCGATCTTGTTACCCAGGCTGGAGTGCAATAGCATGATCTCGGCTCACTGCCTCCCGGGTTCAAGTGATTCTCCTGCCTCAGCCTCCCAAGTAGCTAGGATTACAGGCAATTGCCACCACGCCTGGCTAATTTTGTATTTTTAGTAGAGACAGGGTTTCACCACGTTGGCCAGGCTGGTCTCAAACTCCTGACCTCAGGTGATCCACTCGCCTCAGTCTCCCAAAGTGCTGGGATTACAGGCATGAGCCACCGCGCCCAGCCTCTACTCTCGTCCTTTCTCAGTGGGTAAAAAACTGATTGTAAACTCATCCTTATTCTTTAAGGTCCTGGAAGTCCCCCGTACTTCCAAAATTCTCTAACTAAAATTCTAATATTAGAGAATTCACTGAAGTCATCAATAACATTTAAAATATGCAACCTAGGAAGAGGAGTCACTTGCCAAGTTATAAATCATACATAGTGGGAATGAATGATCTGAGACCAAGTTTTATATAGGGAGGTGGGAGAAGAGCATGTGAAGGAGCCAAGGAGGCAAAGAGAAGTGGAGAGAAATGTGGAAGCCGGGAAGAAATAATTTTTGCACAGAGATCAAGAAGACACTCTCAAAACTAACAAAGGAACACTCCCCCAAGTCTACATCCAGGTATCAGTGACTCTGCATTCTTCCACAAACTGGAAGCATTTAACCTTTGCTCCCCCTGAACAAGTAATCTAGGCAAGTTTCACATGGGAAAAATGCATCTGGATGAAAGGTAGATAAAGAGTTGCTGGGGTCCGGGCGCGGTGGCTCACACCTGTAATCTCAGCACTGTGGGAGGCCGAGGCGGGTGGCTCACGAGGTCAGGAGATCAAGACCATCCTGGCTAACACAGTGAAACCCCATCTCTACTAAAAATACAAAAAATTAGCCGGGCGTGGTGGCGGGCGCCTGTAATCCCAGCTACTCAGGAGTCTGAGGCAGGAGAATGGTGTGAACCCAGGAGGCAGAGCTTGCAGTGAGTGGAGATCGTGCCACTGCACTCCAGCATGGGCGGCAGAGCAAGACTGTCTCAAAAAAAAAAAAAAGAAAGAAAGAAAGAAAGAAAGAAAGAAAGAAAGAAAGAAAAGAAAAACAAAAAGAGTTGCTGGGAATTATGGAAGCTAGGATAATAAAATATCTTCATTCCAATAAAAAATGTTGTCCTTTTATAGATTTTTTTTTTAC